TATTATTATTATTATTATTATTATTATATTATCATAATCATCATTATCATTATTTTGTTCTTATCTCAACCCACAAGTCTCCTTCCCTTTTCCCCTTTAATTCTCTTCCCCGTCTCCTGGGAGGGGGGAGAGTGAGTGAGCGGCTGTGTGGCACTGGGCTAAACCAGGACAGTTGTAAATAAATATTGCTGCTTCTGTTCAGATGTGCTATACTCAATTGTAAAGAGCACAAATATGGGTCCAAAATCCAATCTGCTGTAATCATGGTTTGGAGATAATCCAAGAGTTCTTGGTCAGAATACTCGGGCAGAACCCGGTTATTGTTCAGGAAACATTAAAAATCCTCAGGTTGTCGTTTACTTTTGTGAAATCTTACCAACTGCTAGTGGCAAAAGAAAAGATGTTTCATGTTTCAGGTACAGTGGGATTCTGGTTTGGGGCCTGTAGATCCATTGCTGGGGAATGATTAAGAAAGGGATTCCTGGAAATGGATTTAGAAGTATGAGCTATAACAAAATAAAAGCTGTGGGGAAGCCTGAATGTAGGCTGAGGACCAAGTCATCACCCGATGCATGTGTGTGAAAACAACATTCCTAAAACACTGGAGAGAGAAACATTGGAGGGTGTCAGTGCTGGGGGGAAAGAGATGTAGTTGTCTCTAAAGACAGGATTGCTAGTCATTTTGTTGTGGGTGCTTAGTTCTAGGAGGAGCAAAAAGCCAATCCTGTTTAGGAGAAGTTCTGTAATTTGGCTTCAAAACGCTTTGATTCCCTGCTTGAAAGCTACACAAGATGTGTTTCAAGGGAGGGGAAAACGATTTTGGGAAGCTCAGAGGTAGTTAAAACATTGAATGTGGAATCTGAGGCTGCTGAGGACTTTCTTCCATTCATGGAACTGAACTAAACAAATTGCTGCAGAATTTTATTTATTGTGAGACTTTTGAATAGTGAGAAGGAAAGGTGGTTTTAGTGTTACATGCTGAAATAGAAGGTGCTTTTAGGACAGAGCTGTCTGTATTGTAAAGTTCTTACTTAGAAAGTGCTGGAGAAACGTATTCCTATAATGAATGACTTTGTTACCTACTATCTAAAAGCAGAACACTCTTCTTCATGTCAAAAAAAAACCAACCAAAAAAATGGTGTTTCCTCTACCTGGAACCTTGTCAGCAAGCTTGGTAGTTAGGTAGTTGAAGAAGATGGACTTGTCTAGTTTGACACTGAGCTTGTAGGCAAAACATCATTCAGAAAGAAGTGGGATGGTAAAGGTGCGGCAATACTAGGAAACAGTGCTAAGGAGTGCATCTGCTGATGGGGTGTGTGTGTGTTTTTAACTTTTCTTCTAAGATAGGTGTACAATTTATGCTTCATTGTCTGTTTTTTTCTTGAGGTTTGAGATGACCAGAGTTTTACCAGGGCTTGTGTAAAAAACCAAAAAAGTGATCTGTGAAGAGCATCTTTTGCAAAGCCATAAGACTATATGAAAATTAAAAGCCTGTCTCAAGGTAGAAGACTGTAAGGGAGAAAAGGCTGAGATGTGAGAGTGGAAGAGTGATGTGAAAGGCCATTGAATTGCGCCTCACACAAAACTAGGAGAATAATAAAAATGGGCTCAGTGTTTTTTTCCTAGATTTGGTAGAGTGCTATCAGCAATATGAGCTTAGTTTCAGAGCTACTGGAGCTCCCACCACGGATGTGCACAAAAAAACCCACAAAACCAAACCAAGCCAAAACTCAGCAAAAACCTAGACAGAGAGTTTTGAACAGTGTCAAAACACTGTTGAATACGTATAGGAAATCTTAGTCAAAGACACTGGTTACCGGTTTTACAGAGTGTTGACAAGCATGTAGCTTAAACTGTTTATGAGACATTAACGTTTGGTCTGTGTAGATAAAGTAGGCCATTCAGGGAAAAGATCCGGCATACCATCACCTAAACAAGGTACGTTCAAAACCGCAACTGTGGACTGAATGGAAGCATTTTGCGCTCCTCTGTTTGGTACCTGATGTTTATTGTGTGTACGTACACACAACTTCACATTTGTCCTCTCTAAGACAATTACAAGTCACCAGAGGGCCCAGGTCCAATGATCTGTAAACTGTTTGTGGCTTCTTAGGGCCATGACAGTTATAAGATGAAATCCTTGCACTTTTCCAAAGAGCAGCATCGAATGCAAAATGGTTCCAGATCTTTGCAGTATTCTGTTACGCCTTTCTGTGAGAGAGTTCCTATTCTACGCTGAGTAGAGACCAAGTGCTTGAGCAAGACCTCTTTGTGCAGCTTCAGTTAAGTTCTAAAAAGTGGCAAAAATGCAGAACAGCTTCCTGTATTCTCAGTCTTTCTTGATAAAACAAGAGTTTGTCAAAAACAAAGAGGATTATTTTAGCATATGAACATAAATGTTTAATTGCAGAAATATGTTGATTTATTGTTATCTGCTTTGACTGTAAAGTACAGGATGAAAATACAGAGATGAAACAACTACTGAAGAGTATAGGAGAATATCTCTCATCTCCTCCAAAAAGTCCATATTTTTTCCGTAACTTGCTGATTCCATATGTTTGGGATAAAGCAGTAACATGAGGACAGAAACAAGCTAGATAACACGGGCTAGATGACATCATAGTACTGCTGGAAATCCATTACACGCAGGATGGTCTTTCAGTGTGTGTTTCTGTAAGTTGTTCCATTGAATTTTCTTTCCAGTGTGTGTTTGCTGCTGTTGGGAAAGGCATATACGTATATAATCTTCAAATGAAGCGTGTGATTGCCTGCCAGAGAACTGCTCACGACTCCTCTGTACTGCACATTGAGAAGCTTCCAAACAGGTACGAGTCACGGTGCATTTTGTTAATGCAGCAAAGAAACGCTGAACTTGGAAGCGTGGGCAGAATCAGTCTGCAAAACTACATCGAATTTCTAGGGCAACGACTTGGTCTTTAGTTTGGTCTGCTTTTAGTAGATAGAGCTTGTAGATCTGATTTTTGAAAATGCATCATTGTAATTAGATGTGAAAAAAATACAATGTACTATGCTTGATCCACAGGCTCAGATTAAAATATATTGGCTACTTTCAAAATCAGACTTGATAAAGCACTTTTGTCTATGTTGTGAAAATACAGCTTAATGGTATTTTATGTCTATAAAGCAAAGGTCTATGATGTATTCAGTAAATATTTTTCATTAAATATTTTGTAACAGTTGAAATGTTTTTGCAAAAAATAGTAACTTCCAGCCTTTGTTCATTAGTGCTGTGTTTCTAGCTGGAACTTATTTTGACAGTCAAGTTGGACAATCTGCTGCATATATATATACACATATATATATATAAAATCTAATAGTTATGTTGTTAGATCCCTTTATGGTCTTGTTCAAAGGAGCAAAAGTTTGTCAGAAGATGAAAATTAGGGCCTTGATCTTGTAAATACATGTGCTGTTCTAAACATGTAAGGAAAAGGAGTATCTTTCCTTTTGTTATTTTTCCATAAGAAAAATTGAAAGTAAGCTTACGGAAGCCAGTTAGTGGAACTCTGTTCGCAGAGTCTAGACTTGTTATTCTTAGTTTTACAGAGTGGTATGCTTTTAAAATGGGATGGAAAATGTGTGCGTTTTTCCACCTGTTTTACAAGTCCCTTATAGTTTGTCCTGCTACAAATGCACTTTGTTTTGTATGGAACACCTGGATGTCCTGCTACATTTGAGAGTTCAAGAAAACTTGTGTAGAACCTGAGGCACTTGCTGTCTCTTTTATAGCAACGTCACAAGGTAACTTGCACAGTGAAGTATCTGTGCTGGTGTTGCTTATCAACTGTTTTTACAGGCAGCTGATCTCCTGTTCAGAAGATGGCAGTGTACGCATTTGGGAGCTCCGAGAAAAGCAGCAGCTGCCAGCTGAACCAGTTGCAACAGGTTTGCTAGTACTGGGGGGTGAAAAGAACATTTAAAGAGGGTAATGGGAAATGCAATATTCACTGTATAGGAATAGAGAGGCTTAAAGGCTTTGTAAGAAGAAATAAAGTCTTGTGTTCTACCAATCTATAACAGGTGTGGGATGGAAACTGAAGAAGACGTGGGTGTACAAGCCCTCCAAGATCTGATATGGGAAGTTAGAACCTCCAGCTAAAGCAGTTCTGTGCCGTAAACCTTGTTTAGAGTTTACAGTTGTATCAGCTAGTTTAACAGAAATTATGACCTCTCCTGACAAACCTTGATCCGCTGCTTCTGCTGAATAGTGCTGGATCCTCTACTATGCAAGAGTAAATAGTGGCAGAACCTTGAGAAGAAAGCTAGAGAAGCTTGCGGATCAGCAGCTGGCACAAAAAATGTGTTTTCCACATCTCCTCCTTGAACTTGAAATGACATTGGGACTCTGAGACTGTATCCAACCTCACTTACTACCTCTGGGCATCATAGTCTTCAGGGCTAGTTGCTAGTGCTTTAGGAAGCGTTTTCCCCAAGTACAGACGTAGCCTGTGTAGTGCTTGCTGCTCTTTGACCAGGCCAGCAGCTTCCCTAGGCACTGGTACTTGTAGTCTTGGACAGTTGCTCTGCACAATATAATTAGTATTATGGACTGGGAACAGTAATGAACTGTTACTCTCTTTTGTAGGATTTTTTTTTATTCAAACTGTGAATAATTTTCTTGATTTATCTTGTCTACCTGGCTGTTCGCCTCTTGATGGTAATTTTTGCAAATATTATATCTTATATATATAAAAATATATAAATATCTTTGCAAAAAGATATTTGCTGCCTGGTTTGATTTAGAAACACTTTTTAAAAGATGTTCTGTCTTCAGCATTGCTGGTGACAGCTGATCTACACAGTTCTTCTTCTTGTGACGGGTGGTATTCGGTTTCACGTTGGAAATTTATAACTTCTAGGATTGGGGACACTTGAAAGAAACCATATGCAACAGTGAGATAGATGGACTGCTGTTGATTTACTCTGTTTTTATTCGGTGGAATCCCCTGAGTAGTTGTTCATCTCTCCAGTTATCTCTCTTGCACCAGGGCCATGGTCTAGTGCATTTCTTGTTTTGTGTGCTGGTGGGGCTGAGGAAAGGGTCAGGAAGAAATTCTGAACTGCATTGTGTACAGAACCCACTTTTCTTACTTCTGTCAGTATTATTACACAGTTCTCCTGGAGGCTGTGGCACAGATGTGTATTTTCTTGCTAGCCAAAGGGGACATGTGGAGGACTGTCTTTACACTTCTTTTTGGCTGATAGTTTTAAATCTAAAGGAGAAAGCCAGTAGGCAGTATAAAAACAGGCAATTCAACATCAGAGACAGGGAAGAGACTGGCACCTCATTTCTCTCTTTGCACAAATAGCAGTTTTAAGAGGACAGAGCAAAGGTAAACATCACTGTCCTGCATCTACCTTTGCTGTTCAGTTAGTTCATTTAGGCAGTCCTTGGATTTCTTGCTAAATCCATGTATTGTCTCATCCAGGTAAGTAATTCAACGTGTTTGCTAAATTACATCTAGCAGGGACAAAAGACAAAGTAGCTATCTTTCCTTCCCCCCTCAGGGTGAAGAATCCAGATGTAGAAATGCTGCACAGTACGAAGCTTCTGTCATTTTGCCATGCAAACTGTCCTGCTTTTACATTTTTAGTGACTCGTGTAGTTCTCTCTTTAGCTGGAGGAAATAAATCGTGTTTGTGATTTTTGCCAAAATAAAAGATTATTTTTTTTCCCAGGATTTTTCAACATGTGGGGATTTGGAAGGGCAAACAAGCAGGCAAACCAAGCTGCTAAGAAGGTGCAGGAGAATACACCTATGTATTTCTTGGAGCTGGTTGGTGATTTAATTGGTCATTCATCAGCTGTGCAGGTAGGTCAGCTTTAGTAAGAGCAAGAAGTGAATTTCACTTACTAATGTAATTTTGGGAAAAGTGTAACTTTTGACTTCCTGGCTCTGGAGGCTGGGAACACATTGATTGTGTGGTTTAGTGCAGTGTGAAGGCAGTAATACCTACTGACTTAAAGTTCTAATGAGACTGGTACCTGAGGATTGCGTATGCAAATATATACATACACGCTACAGATAACCTGGTAGGGTATTTGGTTTCTTTGTAGACTGTAAAAATTACAGCAGAGAACTGCGTGTTTGTTTCAGATTTCATCTTAAATTTGCAATCTGAACAAAGGCTCATATATAATATCCAAACCCATTCAGGAATTTCTTAGCACTCTGCACCGTGAGCCTGAAGGAGGTCTTTTACTTTTAGATCAAGTACCATTCAGTGCTTCTGTCTGCGTAATAGAGTATGTTTTTGTTTTAAATGGCATTTTCCCTCCACACCTTTTTGAGTTTTACAAACCTACTGGAGTAACAAATCACTTTCTTAGACTGAGCATTTACACACATTCTTGGCAGGAGCAGGGGGAATGGCAGGTAGAGATGAGTGGTGTGGTTCTGGAGTAGTTTTGCACATGAGGGTTCAGGAGACTGACTGGGTTTTGGAACTGCTAGTGCCAAAAGCTAACAGCTTTTCATTGATAGGTTTCTGCTACAGGAATTTCTACAAGGCTTTCTGCCCCTTTCTACCACTTTTCTTTCTGAAAAACTGTTGAAAGAGGCCCTATTATTAGTATGGAAGATTGCTATTCAGCAAGAGACACAGCAAAGAAGGTGGGAGGCACATGTTGGGTCTTTGCTGGGATGCTGCGTAGCCAAGGAGTGACTGAGATGATGGTGGATATGATTTCCGGCAATGTGGTACATGTGGAAAAATTCATTTTTAAACCTTGGGCAGACTGGAGCAGTTGAGGCTGGAAATGTTGAGTAGTGATGAAATGAGATGGTCAAAGACGTGGGCTTGGACAGTGTTTCTGCTGGAACAGCATAGCTAGTAAGTGGCTGTTCCCAGAGCAGGTAGGCTGTAGCATAGTCCTTGGCCTGAATGCTTCCCCTGGGCAGATCCCTTCAATAAGCTGAAGAGTCGGGACACTGCAAGTCTGCCAGCGGCATCACATGGCCTGGTTCCATTGGCTAATTTCAGGCAGCCTTGTGGGAGTCTCTGAAGTCAGGGATGACTACCTGACTTGTCAACTCTGTTGCTCTTGCAAAATACCTCCACTGCTGATGTTCTTTTCTGTGTCGCTGTTCTTGCTGATTTGTGTTCCTCTGTGAGACCAGGCGCGTGCTGACATCTGTCACAGTTGTTTACTCTTTGGTCACAGAATCACAGAATGTTAGGGAATGGAAGGGACCTCAAAGGATCATCTAGTTCAATCCCCCTGCCAGAGCAGGACCACCTAGATCAGATCACACAAGAACGCGTCCAGGCGGGTTTTGAACATCTCCAGAGAAGGAGACTCCACAACTTCTCTGGGCAGCCTGTTCCAGTGTTCTGTTAC